TGTGTGCGCGTATGCGTGTGCATAGACATGTGTCATGAAAAGGCCATTGGCTGGAGCACTGTGTTGTTCGTTACGTGGCCAGTAATCTTCCACTTCACACTGTTCTCTCACAGGACATTTCTCCTCTGTGCTCATTATACCCTTTTCAGTTCTCAGCATATTCTTATTGTGAAAAAGTAGAAATAAATGTTTTCTCTAGTATTGGATCAGAGTCACTTGTCAATTTGAACACATGGGACACTTTTACTTCTTACAAATCTGTGGGCTCCCCTTGAGTGCTGGCTCTGATCTGTTTTTTCCATCTTTGGGCTGGAAAATTCAAATTTAATGTCGGACTGGCTGCCGGCTTCGGAGACCGCTTTCCCTTCCCATCCAAGTGTGTCGTTCAAGCTGGTTTAGATAAGCAGCTGAGTCACTTCCCAATGCCACATCTGGATTCACACGTCCAGTCCTTGCATCCAGTCAGTCTCTGCAAAAAGAGACAAGTCCTGTCAGTGTGCATGCGTGTGTGTGTGTGTGTGTGTGTGTGTGTGTGTGAGTGCATGCGCGCAGCCAGTCAGGCTTAAAATAAGGACCACTTTATTGAGCCATGTGGTTTCAGAGTGTTACCCTGTGCCTTTGTCATGGCCTCTGCATGCATGTTCTTTTAATATATTTCCAGCTTTAAGAATTGGAGTCCACCCCTATAATCCAGCACTCGAGGGGCTAAGGCTGGAGGACTTCTATGAGTTTGAGGACAGCCTGGGCTACATAGTAAGTTCAAGCACAGGCTGACCTACATAGGAAGACCCTGTCTTCCCCCACTCCTAACCCCCCCCCCAAATCCCTGCTCTCAGACGTGGTAGTGAATGCCTGTAATCCCAGCACTTGGGAGGCTGAAGCAAGAGGATCAGTGAGAGTTCAAGACCAGATGAGGTTACAAAGTGATTTCAAAGCCAGCTTTAACTGGATAGTGAAGCCCTGTCTCATACACACACACACACACACACACACACACACACACACATACACACACACACACACAACTTATCTATAGCTCTTTGAACTTGGCATCACCTCCAGAATACATAAAATAAGAAACAGAACAAGGGGCTACTGTGGGCAAGCATCTAGTATCTTCCGCCTCTCGTTCCAGGGAAACGTATGCATCATATGCATACATAGGAAAGCAACAAAAGGACAATAAGGTCTCAGCATTTTGAGGAGACTTTCAGGACTCTCACAAAAAATATTCACACCTGTGGAACAGATTGGTATCTTTGAGGAGTCTGGTCTTCAGCTTCCAATACGCCTGCCAAAGCATCAATGGCTCTTAAGGAAATAAGCCCCTGCCCAGGCTTATTGATGCCCATCTGGGTTTGGAACTTTTATCATCATTAAGTATACCTTAGCAGTGCCTATCTGGTACACTATTTCTTTTTCTTTTTTTGCCAGCTCAGCCCACTGTGAGGGTGAGGCTGGGGAGGCCTGTGGTGCCCTGGATCGAACTGCAGTCCCCCGTGCCTGCCTAAGCTTGCCTAAGCAGGCACTTTAGACCACTGAGCTATCTCACCAGCCCCATGGCACACTATTTCTTAAATAACATTCAATACATTAATTTAGATGTAAGTGGTTTCAAAATTATTCATCAGGCAGGGAGATAGCTCAGTGGCATATTGCCTGCCTGGCAAGTGCAAGGTCCTGAGTTTGATTCCTGGTAGCAAAATGAACAAACCAATAGTAAATTAAAATAGTAAATTAAATCTTTTCAAGAACTCAAATATTAGACAGAGACCCTAAAAACCACCGAAGCTGTTCATTATGGTGCCCAGGAGGCATTTAAATAAAAGCTTTCTTTTGTGCTCATCCTTACTAAAGTTTAAACATTTCTCATTCAAAATGGCATCAGGACATTAATGTCATTTGAAAGCATGTATTCACTGTCAATTAAGTATCTGTCCAATACGAAATGTTTATAGATTTAAACACATACAGCATGTGCACACACATGCACACACACACACACACAAGACATGGTGGTATATGTCTGTAGTTCTAGTACTCAAGAGGCTGAGGCAAGAGGATCAGTGCATTTCAAAGCTGGTTTGGAAAGGCTGGCCAAATAGCTCAATGGATTAAAGCACCTGAAAGCAGGTGCAGGGGCTGGGGGTTCGATCTCCAGGCCTGCTGTGTGATCGACCCACCCCCACAGTGTGCTGAGACAGCAATTAAGACTCGGCGTGGTGGCGCGTACCTATAATCTCAGATCTTGGGAGGCTGTAAACAGGCAGGTCACCATGAGTCTGATCTAGTAGTGAGACCCTGAACACCCTGCACACTCTGTACACCCTGTCTTAAATTAAAAAAAAAAAAAAAAAAAAAAAAGCCAGCTTGGGCTCTGAAGATCCTATTTCAAAAGAGAAACAAATTTTACCTCCCTCCCCAACAAGGCCACACAGAACTGAAGCCGTCAATATTTCTGTGTGCAGAGGTGCTTGTTACCTGCAGTGTAAACCCAGAACCACACCACGCACAACCAGTCCTGAAAATGGCACAGAAGTGGCATCAAGAAACCTTGGTCACAAAGATACGAATCTCTGAAGGGGGTAGATCCCAAGTTCCTCCGGAACATGCATTTTGCACAACAAGAAGGACTTCAAGAAGATGCAAGTAAACAATGCTAAGGACATGTGTATGCACACCGAGGCTATCAAGGTCCTTGTCAAGCCTAAGGAGGTCAAGCCCAAGTTCATCCCAAAGGGAGTAAACCGCAGGCTCACTCAACTTGCCTGTATTGCCCACTCCAAGCTTGGGAAGCATATCCGTGCCCTCATTGCCAAGGGTTGCAGGGCCTCCTGGCCAAAGGCCCAGGCTCCAGCTTCTGCTCCAACCAAGGCCCAGGCTCCAGCTTCTTTCTGGTCCAGCCCAGGCCCCCAAAGGTGCCCAGGCCCCCATGAAGGCTCCCCAGTAAAAGCCTCTTATCTGCTGATGTAAAAACAGAAGGATGGTGTGCTCCCTGGAGTGCCATCTGTCAGGGGTTGGTGTCTTCCTGTGCTCTTTGTACAAATAAACCTGAGGCAGGATATATATATATATATATATATATATATATATGTGTGTGTGTGTGTAGGTACTTGGTAGAAGAATAGACAATTGCTTAAGACTAATTTTGACCTACAATAGCAGTAATTTTATTTGTTGTGTTTTCTTGAGACAGGGTTTTGCTATGCAGTTCAGGTTGGACTCGAATTCGTTTTATAGTCTAGGCTGGCCTCGAATGCATAGTAATTCTCCTTCCTCAGCTTCCTGAATGCTAGGATTACAGGTGTGTACCACCTTGCTGGCTTTTGTCTTGTTTTGTTTTGCTTTCTTTTGTTGTGTTTCTGAGAAATCCCCAGTATTGCACAAACCAAACTAAACAAAACCAGAAGTAAAACTCCAGTCATTACCCTCCTTCACATAGCCATTCTATGTGGCTTCATTCCAATGCTGTTTGTT